CTTTCTATTCACTCTACCAGAGTAATGTAACCAAATAATTACATATAACAAGATGAGTCCTTTCTATTCACTTTACCAGAGTAATGTAACCAAATAATTACATATAACAAGATGTGTCCTTTCTATTCACTTTACCAGAGTAATGTAACCAAATAATTACATTAAAATGAAGAAACATAAGTGAACTTTTAAGGAAACTTCCTGCTGATTTGGAGTGACCACCTAACAACTTCAATGCATGAAATGACCATATAATTGTGTGTTTGATAAAGATTAGACATACTTAAAGTACCAGGTTTATAAAAAGTGTGACTGAAAGAAAGACTCAATTAAATACATTATCACGTTTCCTGTCTCAGTTAAACAATATATTCAATCTCAATCACTTGTATATGATTGGGTAGAAATCAAGCTTGCACCTACTACAATAAAACCTATCTTCGTGATTTTTACAAGTCTAGTAGGCTTTTAATTAGAATGATCATAGGAGGTGGAGACTTGTCTACAAACAAACACTGAAAACACTTGTTCATGAGTTAGACATGCAATAAAAACCTGAAATAAGCAGCAAGAGTTTAGGTCTTTAAAAAATAGTCCTTTATTAAAACTGAATGATGGTTAGGTGGTCTTTAAGTTATTGATTGTATTACCATGAAGAAAAAAGATTATACTACATTTAAATTAATCAAGTGTCTATAATCAGTTCATGTCATACTTCTAAGACAAAGTTGAAGCCTGCCCCCACCACTCAACGTCATAGAATTAGATGTTTTTAATTCATTGACTCGTAGTAATATTGTTTCTTCAGTGTTCTTATAATAAACACAAAACCCTATACACTATGAAAACATTCATTTTATTCACTCAGCTAACAGTGCATGACAGTCCAAATACATAAAATTAACATATTTTATGTATCATCATGTAATTCAAAACTACTTATAAAAGCTCCCATTGTACTGGAATGGCTTAGAACAAGATGGAAGGTTATAATACATAGATACCATTGTAAAGAAATATACCAATAATTTAAATAAAACATGCCATTCAAATTACTCAATAATTTCAGCAGTAATGCTCTGTAGTAGACTAGTCTGTGATACTAACAGTTTGGATTAAGATTTATAAAAACACTTCAACTCTTACTGAGACAACTGTTATCAAAACCCAAACAGAATTGAAAGTGTTCATGAAATTAACAAAATAAAATTATCTTTAAGTTATTCACGGACAAATTTCTGTTCACCAAATGACAATGGCGTACATAATTGTTACTCCCGAAACAGTTCGGTTTCTCACATTCACGTGAAATCTTTAAAACTTCATAACCAAACATCAGAAATGCATCTAAACGATTAGACTGTAAATACGTTTTCATTGTGCAATTTCTATTTTCACTCATTTGTAATTTTTGTTATATTCTGTACTTACTAATTTATGTAGCTGTTCATTTCAAACCTAAAATGACTTCTCATTCACTGGAGATGAACAAAAAAAAGAGACGAGTAGCACACACGTCTTTAAGTTATCTTTAACAATATCAACTACTTTTTGATCAATCTGAAGAGCTCTGAAACCATCCAAGTTACCACTAAAACAAAAAACCTGGTCTAGAAAGGTTCCCATAATGGTTATCAAAGAACTCAACCATGTAAAATTACGTTAGTGAATGACGGAAAACTATGCTAATAAAACATTTTTGTTAGTAATTACTGCTATGTAGCATTAAGCATGGTAAAAGATTAGTCCAACGATCCCCCTAAAAAAGGTGAACTTGAAAACAAGTCTGTTTACAGACATCGTTCACAAAATAATTCAAGATATTGTTTAACAATGCAGGAGTTTAAGATTTGTCAAAAAACAAAAGTACATTGTTACTTTGAAACTTTAAATATCATAATACCCAATATCTCCTTTTTATCAAGTTTGTTGACGGACTTCGACGAGAAAGAAATGTTTAGGATACAGACTGAATCTATTAACAGACATTAAAGACAAAGTATCTGTCATCTACAGATCTGATCTTGTCTTTAAATACCAATCAATTTTAGGATACATTAAACTATAAACTGATAAAAAAAAAGCTTGTGAAGAAACAATTAGGATGCACTTTGTCTTTTGAATTATACTTGGAAATCAAACTATTCGCTATTTCACAACAATGGAGTTAAACATAAACAAATTTCTATTCTTTTAATTAAAAACTTTCAAGTTTACATGTGGATTTGGTGGTATAAAAAAATTACAAAACCAAATAAACAAGAATCGTCTTTAGTATGCTGCAGTCAAAGAATTTAAAAGTTTTTTTAAGTTAATTTTTATTCAGTTTTCACAATTTACATAAAATTTCAACATTGTAACTTTTATGTTTAGGAGTAACTTTCAATTTACAGCTGAATATTTCTGGTTCGTACTACAAAGATCTACAAAAATAGTATGATAAAGTTAACAAATAAGCATGTTCAAGATCAAATCACTAAACTTTTAACCAGAACTGTTGATTCATAAACTTAAGCATCAACTCTTATGAAACAACTTTATACATAACTATTATTTTAACTTTACAATCTCCACAAGGAATACCTGTATGTACGTCTGTCATTCTTGCTGGCACTTTGACTGTTTAACAAGGCAACTTTTGGTTCCAGTTAAAGTACAACAACTTAACCACTACTCAGATACTATTTTTTCTCATTTAAAGCTGGTAATTGTTTTCCCCGTAAGTGATATATACTTTAGAACAATAAGTGTAAAACATCAACATGGTGATTTGTTTAAGAAGTAAAGATAATTACCAATAATTTAACTGGTGCTTTTCTCTGTGATAAATGATAGATTAACGATTACAGAAAACAAATATAAGCATATTTCTCTGGTATATAACAGAAAGAAAGTAAATAGATTCACCTGAAATTGAAGATAAATTTCACATTGTTTGCTATATGCCACATGGGAGCTTTATTGAAATTTCAATCCAGTGGTGATGGCAATGAGACCACAGGCCCATACATGATACAGAGTTTTGAAAATGCAAGAACAAACTAACCAACCGCTGAAGCTATCACCTCACTAACATTGGGGTCCATGCTACGCACAGCCAGGTTCATGGTAACACCTTCAGAGCTAGCCCCAAGAGCCAACTTAGCTCGAACTAGGACGTCGTGGCCTCCTCGATAAACTCCTGCAAGGAAAAGTGTGTGAGCACTCTTTCCTTCTGGCACTTTGTCTGATCGTTCACAAGGCTGCATTCCCATAAACTGGATGATGCTTTTTATAGCTTCTAGGAAAACGAAGAGAAAAACATTTATATTTGTTTATAAAACATACTTAACAGTAGTTCCAAATTAACATGTATACTTCTGATTTACACTTGGCTTGTGGGTTCTAACAAGATCTTATACGGGCTGTCACTTACCAACATAACTATAGAGTATTTGTTGATGAAACTCTGAGAATGTTTACTTTCTTCATCTAATCCCAATGTTGTTAGTGCAATGACGCTTCGATACTTTACTGATGTTGTTTTTGTTTTGATACCAGTAATGTTGCTGTCTGTAGAGAATAACGTCCTGTTCAGAGTACTGACCGATATCAGTAATGTTGTTGTCTATAGAGAATAATGTCCTGTTCAGAGTACTGACCGATATCAGTAATGTTGTTGTCTATAGAGAATAATGTCCTGTTCAGAGTACTGACTGATATCAGTAATGTTGTTGTCTATAGAGAATAATGTCCTGTTCAGAGTACTGACTGATATCAGTAATGTTGTTGTCAATAGAGAATAACGTCTTGTTCAGAGTACTGACCGATATCAGTAATGTTGTTGTCTATAGAGAATAATGTCCTGATCAGAGTACTGATTGATATCAGTAATGTTGTTGTCAATAGAGAATAACGTCCTGTTCAGAGTACTGACTGATATCAGTAATGTTGTTGTCTATAGAGAATAACGTCCTATTCAGAGTACTGACTGATATCAGTAATGTTGTTGTCTGTAGAGAATAACGTCCTATTCAGAGTACTGACTGATACCAGTAAAAATGTTTCACAACTTACTTTTAATAACCAGTGATCATCAGGCTGTTCCTAAAAGTATAACATTAATTTTGCTACTACAAATACAAAGCTACTATTCTTGGTGCTACCTACTGTAGACTTTTCAATGCATGTGTGTGTGTGTGTGTGAAGAAATACACTTCACTAATCTAAAGAGGTTAATAGGCATGGGCCGATCAGCCAGCAACAAAATAAAGAAACTTTTTTTACTGTTGCCTGAACATTATTTTTTACTGTTGCCTGAACATTATTATTGATGATACATTGGTTCCATTTCCATGGATAAAGTGTGCCGAAATAGAAACTGTAGAAGATTAGATTAGTGAAATAAGTAATGGCTATCAAAACCTAAATTATATTTATAACTATAAACACAGTCTAAATGATTTCACAACAAACAAGTGTGCACAGAATTCATAATATCGTATTGTATCTCAAGAACACTTGATTTTTTTATGTACCACATCTCGCTTGTGTGTCCTGGAACATTATCAGTTTCTTTATCAAGTCCAGAAGGATGAGACTTCTTGTGTATCATTAAGTAGCTTAGCTCTCATGAAGAAATAATAAACTACTCCAGGTTACACTTTGTTCTGTGAATTATACAATAATGTGCTGGATTATCTCATTTCTACAGAAATCCATAATTAAAAATAACACTGACTGAGACCCAACAAGAGTTTTGGATTATCAGCAAGTTAAAGATCAAAATAGGTCAGAAATATTTCCCACCTTCTAGAGTTGTCATAGACGATAAAGCAAAGGTGTCTTCCAGTTCGTTGTCGGGACCAAGTTCGTCCCATGCAGCTGCAAAGTTAGGTTGTAAGACCTTCTGCACATGGTCTGCAACCGACACTTCTAGGTCTTCAAGCTACAACCACCATCACAAAACTTGTAATACAATAACAGTTTGTATCTTACGAACATGAAAAAACAAATGTGTGCATTTAAAATACGAACACAAGTAATCGTACTGTATTTTCTCAAGTTTTCAGATACAGCTCGTTCACTTCTGTCAGAAACTACATTTCAATACAAAACTTATATCTATAGGAATTCTAGAAAACAGAAAAAATTAGTCGAGAGAGGAAAAGAAGAACTTTATAAATGAACAAAAAACATCCTTACCACATATTCATCTTCATACCCTTCTTCTTCATCTGTCTCTCCACTGTTGGGGTCACAGTCTTTCACGAGGTATTTCAAGGTATTGCTAAAAGTTCCAGTTGCTGTAAGAAAATATCATTTTTGAAACCAATAATTTCTGTGTACAATATTTATTTTGTACTTAATATTTGATAAACAAACATTTATGGACACTACTGCTTTACTGAGAAGTTTTAGTAGCTACAAGATACATATTAAAATAAATTACTTTACTGGCTTTATCAAAAATCCAATTTTGGATAACTGTTAACAACAAAAGTGTTCAGTTCAAAAATGGAATATATCTTCCTCGTTTTTGTGTTTTAAATAAGTTTCAAAACTTGTTTTTATTCACATATCCTAAACTCCTCTTAAACTTTTTCACAGAATTATCACTGACCACTAGCTGACCTGTGTTACTAAACTTTATCACACAATTATCACTGACCACTAGCTGACCTGTGTTACTAAACTTTATCACACAATTATCACTAACCACTAGCTGACCTGTGTTACTAAACTTTATCACACAATTATCACTGACCACTAGCTGACCTGTGTTACTAAACTTTATCACACAATTATCACTGACCACTAGCTGACCTGTGTTACTAAACTTTATCACACGATTGTCACTGACAACCAGCTGACTAACCTGCTAGGGGATCATCTGGTAACCTGAAGCAGGCATATGTTGTACCTGTCACGTTGTATGCTAGTTTGGAGCAAGAGATCTGACACAATAATTCAAATCCTTCTGAAGGTTCTACATCAACTTGGACGTTTTCAAGAATTTGGTCATTCAGGGTGTTAGTACAGTCAAACTACAAATATATAAAAACATATAAAATTTTCTTTCACAACAACATTACAAAAATTTGTACAGGAACGATAAAAGCCACGATAAACATTGTACAGGAACGATACAAGCCACGATAAACATTGTACAGGAACGATAGGTAAACATTGTACAAGAACGACACAAGCCATGATAGATAAACATTGTACAGGAACTTTTCCAATACTAGGGATCGGCTTGCTGCCTCCCTAAGCTGTCACTAAAATGCAGAAAGAAAAATCATTACAAATATTCTATCAATTTTCTTGTGAAACCAGTAAGGTTGTTGTAACATCCAGCATGTTACAACAAGCAGTTTTGTTGTAACATATTGGTGTGTAAGACCCGAGGCTGAGAAACAATGCTGAGTATAGATTGTTGTAACATATTGTGTGTAAGACCTGAGGCTGAGAAACACTGCTGAGTATGGATTGTAGTAACATATTGGTGTGTAAGACCTGAGGCTGAGAAACACTGCTGAGTATGGATTGTAGTAACATATTGGGTGTAAGACCTGAGGCTGAGAAACACTGCTGAGTATGGATTGTAGTAACATATTGTGTGTAAGACCTGAGGCTGAGAAACACTGCTGA